AATTCGAGTTGGCTCCGTCCATCGTGTCTCAGGCTTTTTGTGCCCAAACAACCTCCATGGAGTCACTGGCTAAAAATCTCATGACTGCGACAACACGAGACACCGCTGCTTTGCTCCAAGAAAAACGAAGGGCCGGATTCAAGGGAGTACATTTGGGGCCGTCAAAGGTCTCTCGCAGCAAGTCCCTTCTCTCCTGGCAAAGAGAGTTGGTGTACAGAGCCCATTTCCCCCTTCTGCTATCCCACTTCCCAGCCACAGCTCCAGGAAAGGAATCTTTCTCCTCCTCCTCTGCCTGGCTGGGCATTTGCTCTTCCCCTCCCTTTGCCTTCACTCCTACAGCCCGACGAGCTGCAAAACAGAAATGTTTGGCTGTCACCAGAGCAGGGCCAGCACAGGGATGGCAGCCACATCCCCAGCAGGGCACCAGCACCGCTCCGCTTCAGCCTCCACCCTTCCTGCTGGCTGCTCTTTCCTGCAGCAGAGAATGCAGCTGCACGTGGGGGACGCTCGGAGACACCATCTCCTTGTCCCTCCGCAGCAGGTCCCTGCTGACCCAGTGGCCACACAGCACTGAGACGGGTCCCCAAGGCCACTGCTGGACAGGCAGGGCAGGCAGACGAGCCTCAGCGATGGTCACATTCTCCCAGAAGCTGGTGTGGAAAGGGAGGCTGTGGCAACACAGAGCCTCCTGGTTCAGCCGCAGGGACAAAGCTATTGCCTCCGCTTCCCCAGGCACGCGGACGCTGCCGATGGACCTCCCATGGAAGAGCAACTGGTCTAACCAAGGTCATCCACTTTGCTGCGGGGACTCACGCATCCCCGCGGCTCTGCCCGCGTTTGTGGGCATCTCCCCGGACAGCGGCCACGTCCCCATCCTCAGGGTCCTGCCACAGTGTGAGCGTGGGCAAGTCCTGTCCCGATGCACTCTCCAAACTCTCCTTCCTTGTGGGCAGTGGGTCTGAGACATCCCCTGCTCGTTGGCAGCTGAAAAACCCACAGGTCACAACTGTCCACTCAAGTCGTTGCTCCCTTCGTGCCACAGCGCCTGCAGAGCAGCCCTCAAGCAGAGCCAGTTCCTCATGGGGAAAGCAGGAGTTCCCTGACGTGACTTGGACACCCAGGACGGACCCAGGCCAGAGCCTGGCCGCAGCACTGCAGATGCAACCCACTGTGTGAAGCACCTGCTTTCCTGGCAGCACAGGGGCACAAGGGATGTTTTGGGGATGGCTCAGCTCCGGGGGCAGCTCCTCTCAGTTCCTTGCAGTCCCCTCCACCCAAACCAGCAGAACGTGCCACTGCCTTGGGGACAGACTGAACCTGCTTCACTCGGCTACCACCAGGGTTATATTTTAGGGTGGTGACGAAGCTGAAGCTCCCCACCGGATGGGGCACCCGCGCGGTTGCATTGCCTGCTCCCAGCTCCGGGCCATGTGTCACGGCAAGCCCCGGGGCAGGGGCACCCGACCACACAGGGGACCTCAGGCCCCCAGTCCCTGCCATCG